TTGCCGACGATGGCATCATGACTTACGAGTACGGACACACCCATATTAAATAATAATTAACAATAATCAAATATGGAGACATTTTACCCACGCGGATACTGGAAGGACGTGGATGCTATCGCGAAACTCGCCAAAGCCGCCAGAGTCTCAGAAGATGTTGCTAAAGCTTGGCTTAAAAATCAACTTCTCTCGCAAATCTACCTGTCACTGCCCTGGTACATCCCGAGACGAAACTTCGATATTTCGATACCGAATCGAGTGTATCAAGCTGACCTCTTGTTTCTACCACAGGACAGGGTGAGACGCAAAACGCACAAGTATGCCCTGACCGTCATGGATGTCGCCAGTTGCTACAAAGAGGCTGAACCGTTGTGCTCGAACGAATATACAAATGCAGTCGCTTAACCTGGCCTGCCGAGCTGAAAGTTGGCCTGGGACGCGAGTTTATGGGAGCCTTGTCGCAGCTGCTGGCCAAGCACAAAGTCCGGGCCAGATGCCGTGTAGCGGGAGCGCATCATAGCCAAACCATAGTCGAGAGATTTCATCACACCTTAGCCGAGAGGCTATTCCGCCACCAGTACTCACAAGATTTGATCACTCCCGAGAAACGACCGACGGAATGGTTTGCACGTTTGCCTCGAGTGGTGGCAGCTTCAAACAACGAAGTCACCCCATCAAAATGAAGTCCATCACCACCGAATCGTCCACACCACCTCGCGCGAAAATAGAGAAACACCTACCGGACCCGGTCAGCGTGCAGTATTTGTACCAGCCGGGTGAACACGAGGGAGATAGCAGAAAACGTGCCACGGATCCGATATGGTCGCTGAAAACATACAACATCGACCAGGTCAATATCCAAGATGGTCAACCCAATCTCGAAGACGGGCCAGGCCGAGCATTTGTGAGGGAAGAATTACAATTCATGCCTCACGACACAGTGCTACCCAGCGCAGTGTAGCTCAGCAAGTCACTTATCAATCACCGTTCACAGTGAGAGAGAGACAGTCTGGCCATGTATTATGGGTCAGTCACTGATTGGATTCCGAGGTCTTTACCCAACCCGTACACCAGGCGACCGAGACAGCCAAGGCCGTGTATTACAGGAGCAGGGGGATTGCTCATCGATGATCGGACTCCGAGGTCTTTGCCTCGAGCCGTACACACAGCACACGTAACGACTGCCTGACGGTCGGAGATGCCAAGCCCCGTTAACAAGCGCGGTCGCCTATACGATCGTTAGCCTTTCACCAGAACGACCCATGCTCACTAAAAAGTGAACATTACCAAAACTATTCGACCGATTTTCATGAAATTACGCTTGAACGGCGAATGATGGCCCGTCATCATTCATACCTATTTGTCACTCCGGCAGAGGTCGGAACTCGCCAAAAATAACGTTTTTAGGGGTCATGTCACAGAATTTCTATACTACTAGCTCTCACATTGCATCACGTCAAAATAGAGCCCAATTGAAATGGGAGATTCAGAACTGTAGACTGTCTTCATCAAGGACTTTAGCAATGCAGGAAGGATGGGCGGGAAAAAAAATAATGCGGTTCAGGGACTGTGAGACAGAATACACATCGGCATGTATTCCGTATTGAGCCACATGGTTGGTATGTCTTTCAACAAGAGTGATGTCCCTTGTGCAAAGGAGAGCGGCATATACTGAAATAGTTGTACAGTTAAGACCCAAATTGGCACCTCTGGCTAAAAGTACCAAACCTGGCATGCTCATGCAATGAAAAATATACTATTCCAAACATGTCTTTATAAGGCCCTCCTATCTTGTTCCCGAAATCCAAGATGGCCGCCAACTTGGCTGAAAGCTCCAATAATGTCAACCTGTACTCATGATATCATAATTATCTAGTCAATCTTTGTAATGTATTCAGGATTGATATAACCGATTCTGTAATTAAATCAACGAATATTTTGCTAAATTTGCTGAACATTTTTGGCAATACAATTTGTTATGCGTTCAGTATTACTTTTTGTTTTAAACAAAACAAAATCATAGAATGATGAAAACACTGATCCATATAATTTTGTTTGACAATTCTGTTGTCCTACATCTTGTTCCGGATATCACCGACACAACGTTATTATTGCAATGTCCAGTCTGAGGTAAATAAGCAAAGTCTTTCCTGGTTTAGAGATGCCGGATAACTAACTTGTCATAGAAAAATTATAAACAAACGTGTTTTTGTCACTTAGAATGTGAACAAGTTTCCTGTTGTTCCATAATGTACACCTTGCATCTAATCCTAGTCAGTCAGCCTCTTTGCGACTAACGTGAGTGCTCCTTTATGGCAACTGCAGCACATACTGTTTGTGTCATTTGTAGCTTTCTGTCTGTATTTGTGTGATTGGGGCGGCATCTACAAACATACACACCTGGATCAAATTCGATTATGTACAGTTTGACGTCATCATATAGCTGGAACACTGCGGGTGCGACGTATTTACACATTTTCGCATTTGAGTCGCTTTCCAGGGCTAGATGTCATTATCAGCCTCCAAAACAAGTCATAAACCCATGCAAAGGCAAGTCAATTGGTCATCTAGAAAAGCATGGGACTTATGGTACAGTTCAATCTAACCTCAGTATTATCGCTGATGCGTTTACTCCACTTGTCTACTATAAAGCCTTTAAAGCTTTACTTCTCCTTGAATCTTGTAACCTTGATCAAGCAATACTTGTACATAACAAACGGCTGACACCAATGCAGTATGTAAGTACGCAACACGACACGACACGACACGACACCAGCTCGGTCGTCTGGAGAGTCATAAGGCTTCTGCCGAGTCATAAGGCAAGACGATGAAAGATCATATTTGCGCTTACCCTCAGTAACACTCGGCATTAAGGGCACAAAATATAAACTGGGTTCAGTATACTGTATGTAAATGGGGAATGAATGTTAAACTGCGGCATGGGAGCTCACAGAAAGACCGACATACACGCCCCTATTATTCTTAAATGCAAAGTTAAACCCCATTTCATTGCATGCAAACCACGTTTTGCATTAGTGTATGTACGAACAGTAGAGTGTGTGGACACAGATTTTGTACATATTAGTAGATTCTGTACCTTGACAATGAAGTGTAAATGTAAAGAAATAACAACGGTGTGGGGTACAATGTATAACGTTCAGCAGATGGTTTTGCGCTTATGTTGAATATTGAGTGAGTGAGTGAGTGAGTAAGGTTTTACAATTTAAGTAATATTCTAGCAACATCACGGCGGGGAGCACAAGCAATGGGTTTCACACATTGCACCAATGTGGGGAATCGAACCCGGGTCTTCGAGGTGACGATCGAATGCTTTAACCACTAGGCTACCCCATCGCCCCCTTATGCGGAATATATGGTAAAACAATATGTAATGGTATTGGGAGGTATAAGTCACTAAGACACGTTGGTATCATTAGTATACTGGACAAAAATAGTTAGGGATATATGTAAATTTTGAAATTATGAACAATGATCTATTCATTCATTGACACACTGATAAAATATCAATCATAAACATACCAATATCCCTAACTTATTTAGTCCAGTATATTAAGAAGAGCATTAAATCTTTCGCAAAAAGGACCGTTGAAATAATATCGTGGAATGTATTGCTGTCATATACAGGTATATTCAGGACAGGTTAATATAACATGGTATTCAAAGCCGTGATGTATAGGTTGTTCTAACAGTACCAGGAGGTTTAGAAATCGTGCTGCTCGTACGCTGAATGTACAATACATCTAATTTAGTTAACATTCGTAGTAGCTGTATTAATTTCATTGTGATACATGTCCCAAACCGGTTTGAAGATAGACAGTCTATATCGCCTGTGTCATTTAACGTTTTCTGTAACTCATAACTGTTTTGTGTCTGGAGTATCTTGTTGATTGTTGTCTATCCAGTACGATATTACTCTAGTATAAGCATTGATCAACAGTGGAAACTGCCACTATAACTTTGTTCGCAGTTTTGTAACCGCTATGTAACAGACATTTGTCCTGTACCGTTTCCATTGTCACTGCCATTTGTTGGTAGCTAGACCACCACACATCAACATGGGTAGTAAAAACTATGTTTCCGTCGATATGTTTATATTTCGATGCATATTCGTTCATGACATGTACATCTCTTTCAGCATGCACAGAACGTGTTTCACATGCTCAAAAGAACATATTTTTACACAACACCTAGACATTTATTATATCATACAACGTCAATATCTTGACCGTTTAAGACCCATTGTGTCTGTGGCTCTCGTCACTCTCGGAGTAGGATACGCTCAACCTTTTGCAAACATGTTTTATCAAGACTCGGGTATTTGTATTTTAATCAGCTCGTGTTAATATTATTTGATATCAGAAGACACACTCTCTATACTACTCACTATTTGACGGTGAGTCATGGACACATTGTCATAATAGTTTTAGGTAAGGAGAAATGGGTTTAACTTCGTACTTTATTTCGCTCATATGATGACGTGCATGCGTGTGCATGTGTGGCTGCTTATACTAGCCCAGACTTAAGCTGGTTTTATAGTGCTAGCTCACTGAGATACCATGCCGCAGTGAAGCATGAATACTGACTGACTGACTGAGTTTGGCTTTACGCCGCTTTTAGCAATATTCCAGCAATATCACGGCGGGGGACACCAGAAATGGGCTTCACTCATTGTACCAACGCTTTAACCACTAGACTACCCCACCGCCCCGAAGCATGAATACCCCACTCAGACACATTCTATTGACTCCGAGCCGACCAGACGTTGTACTAATTCATGCCCAGCGCCAGGCAGGGACCAACAAGTACCATATTTAAACGTCTTTTGGTATGACGCGGTCGGGAATCGAACCCGCGACCTTCCGCTCTCCGGGCGGACGCTCTAACCACTACGCCACGAAGGTGGTCTATAATAGTTTTAACTTTTGCACCCGGCACGAAGGCGGTCCATAATAGTTTTAACTTTTGCACCCGGCAAATGACTGTTGTTCGCTGGCGATGACGATTTATATGATATGATCCCGGAATTGTTTTGTCGATTTCATGGAGCCCAGGTCTCGTTCCCCGAAAATCTAGTCAGAAATAGGAAGAGTTGCACGCCTCAAAGCTTCACATCGGTGCACTTTTGTCTGCATATCTTTTCAGCCCGAACGCTTTTCATTCAGTTGGTTGAGTGACGGCAACCGTTCACTTAAAGAGCTGGACGTAACATCGCAGTTGCTAACGTACCTGAGCGATACTTCGGTTTGGTGTACATCGCACGCAACTCTTATTCCAGTTTTCGTTGACTATGGATGACCGTAAGTACAATAGTTCGTATAATGACTGTGTCATAGAAGAAATAGAGACGAACCTTGTGAATGCAGATAACTGTATAATGATGTTGGAAGTTATTCACAATCAGTGTCCGCTGAGACATGGACAATACTGTTGCTAGATTTTTTGGAGTACTAATATGTGAGGTGAGGTAAGGTGAAAGTGGGTTTAACGTCGGGCTTGAGAATATTTCGCTCATATGACGGCGTGCATGCGTGTGTATGTGTATGTGCGGCTGCTTGTACTAGCCAAAACTGAAGCTGGTTTTATAGTGCTAGCTCACTGAGATACCATGCCGCAGTGAAGCATGAATACCCCACTAAGACACAGTATACTGACTCCGAGCCGACTAGCCCTTGTTGTACCCATTAATACCGAGCGTACCAAGACGTACCATATTTTAACGTCTTTTGGTATGACGCGGTCGGGGATCGAACCCGCGACCTTCCGCTCTCCGGGCGGACGCTCTAACCACTACACCACGGAGGCGGCCTACTAATATGTGAGTGAGTGAGTTTAGATTTACGCCGCACTCAGCAATATTACAGCTTTATGGCGGCTGTCTGTAAATAATCGAGTCTGGAACAGACAATCCAGCGATCAACAGCATGAGCATCGATCTGCGCAATTTTGATATGATGGCATGTGTCAACCAAGTAAGCGAGCCTGACCACCCGATTCAGTTAGTCGCCTCTTACGACAAGCATGGGCTGCTGAAGATCAATTCTAACCCGGATCTTCACGGGTGGCACATATGTGACGTTAAACACAATGCACGGGTTGATAGTCGCCTCTTACGACAAGCATGGGTTACTGACCTGGACATTCACGGGTCGGAGTATTAATATGTATTTTGTAATAAAAAATAGAATGTATTTGATGAAATGAATTGCATAACTTCCACGAGCGTGAAAACGCTTTATGTTGTGTGCAGTCCGCGTCGGTGACATAGTATTTAGAATACGTCTATAAATACAGACGACAGGTGGATAAGTGGTTTGGAAAGGTTGGTTGGTTGTTGTTTAACGCCGAACTCAGCAATATTACAGCTATATGGCGGCAGTCTGTAAATAGTCGAATCTGGACCAGACAATCCAGTAATCAACAGCATGAGCATCGATCTACGCAATCGGGATACGATGACATGTGTCAACCAAGTCAGCGACCCTGACCACCCTATCCCGATAGTCGCCTCTTACGACAAGCATGGATAACTGAAGACCCGGATCTTCACGGGTTTGATTGGAAAGGATTTTTAAGCATTTATATATTGGCGGTTGATAAATAATACTTGTGGTGGGGAAAACCTAAGTGAATGAATGTAGCTGAACATCGCAGTTGGCAATCGTTCAGTTCGAACCTCATCAGCTTGTTTAAGAAATATTGAAATGTTATATTACTCACGTTCTGAGACGTTTGTAAAGAAAAACATCCCAACTTAACAGTGATAATCGAATTGATATAAGCTTTCATTTTCAGAGTTTTAACAACCATGTTTCATATAATCTAGAAACATTATGGTTTCATCTTTAGGTGACCAAGATTGTGTAGACACCGTGACTCAGCCGGGTACATCTTCTGACACTAAGGGGTAAGACATTTGGCATTTCGTTAATATTTTACCTTCATTCAAAAACTTGAAACCTCATACCTGTAGCTTGGCTGGCGGTGCGTTGGTGTGATGTTATTGTAAGAATACATCTGTGCAATGTATTGAAGAAACAGTTTAAAGGCTATAGTATCATGGTTAATTAAGGTGTAGTACCTGTACTGAAACGACCTGAAAGACTAAACCGTAAGTACATTAGTTGGTTGGCTGGTTTGTTGTTTAACGCCGCACTCTTCTGATAAGCATGGGTTGCTGAAAAACATTTCTAACCCGGATCCTATAACTATATTAACAAATTCTTCGTATGGCCATGGTTGTCACTACGACGCTACACGGATAGTTTTACTTTTATAATCAAGAATCGAAAACGCGTAGAGAGCAGCAAAAGTATCTGCCCAAAAATAGGAAAAGGTAAATGCGACTATGTCCGAGCTACCATATTCTACTTAACAGAAGATTCCCCTTCCAAGCACAGTCTATCGTTTTGTCATAAAAGATCTTGGAATATTGGTATGCAGATATAAAGCAGACGCATTTAGAAATTTAGAAATAACTTAAAAGCACAAACTTTGGATATCAAAGAGTTAAAATGGAAAGACGATATTTAAAATAATTACATTGGGTGCGTTGCAAGCCGGGAATCGCTTAGAGTAAGCAAATGAATCACTTATGAACAGCTCTTCCAAAATGGCGGAGCGATTACCGTTTGCTCGCCAGGCCCTAATGAAGAAGGTATAAATGTCTCGATGGCGGAGCTGATGAATTTATGATTGTTGACGACTACATTGAAGATGTGGAACAAACTGAGGATGCTGGGATGTAAGCTAGCTTTGCCCATTTCCCAGCTAATCAAGTCAAACAATTCTTGTTCAGCCGTCGAATTCAAATTTCCCTAAGCCGCCATTTTGTTTTGAGAACGAAGCGACCTCATCCAGCGATTGGTGCGATTGCAAGCGGCTGAAAATTAACACTCCGTTGTCAGGGTTGCAAGCGATTTGTTGTTTTTTGGCAACGCACCCATTATGTCATATAATCAACACGCTACTTAACATGGCTATTTTCATGGTCTGTGATATTATTGCGTTACAATGACGATCTGTACAGTCATTTGAAGTTTCTTGTGTTAGAGGCGAGGTTATTGGTCCAGCTCAAGCTTACACAAAGGAAGAACACGATGACGTCCAATACAGGATGAGGGGCGAGAATCGTGTCAGGGCCATCATCCTCAACAACAAAGATTTTGTATGTGGCAAGAGAACAAGAACTGGAACTGATGAAGATGCTTCAGATGTATGTGACAGTTTCAACAATCTTGGTTTTAAAGGTGGTGAGGCACAACGACAAGACAAGAAAACAGATGGAAAAGATCATTACTGACGGTAGTAACTTTCTATCAACCCGTGTATTGTGTTTAACGTCACATATGTCCGGGTTAGAATTGATCTTCAGCAGCCCATGCTTGTCGTAAGAGGCGACTAACTGAATCGGTTGGTCAGGCTCGCTTACTTGGTTGACACATGCCATCATATCCCAATTGCGCAGATCGATGCTCATGTTGTTGATCACTGGATTGACTGATCCAGATTCGATTAGTTTCAGACATCCGTCATATAGCTGTAATATTGCTGAGTGTGGCGTAAAACTAAACTCACTCACACTCACTCAAATATGTGACCTAATAGTTACTGTTTCTATCTGAAAGCCAACTCTCCTCGTAACAATTGTGTATCAGTGGATTCCAGATTGTCATTTCCTTCAAGTTTTTTTCCAGGTATATGTGTCTTCTTATATTGTTATCCCTCGATTTCTTATTGAAAGAAAATGTTAGCTCTGAAGTCAGTATACTTTGGGGTGAAACTAACAGCAAAGAAATGATACAAAACAGGCAATATGATTGTGAAATTAACCAAGTGTAAAGACCAATACAAATGACTGCAAAGTAATTACAATGTTGCAGTAAAGAATGGTAGTACATTTTCAAGGGCTTTTTGGAACAAATGGTTTTTGGAAATAGCGATAATATTCACCTAGCAGCAACAGTGGACCAGTTTCCGAACCAGATCGCTGCTGGATTTCTCACAACCCCTGGCCTTGATGTATAGCGAGAGGACATGATGAGGCGTATGTTTGCCCCTGTATATCTGTAGGAAAATGGATTCTGGAAATATTTGTACAAATCGAGATCTATCTGCGCTGTTCCAGAAGCGTGAAGATATTATCAAAGAGGAGAGATAGTTGATAAGCAAACAGCAATTAATGTTCCTGAATATTTAGACAGTGTGGAGCCTTAAGCATGTTCTAGTTGCGTGGATATATGCACTACATAAATATCCTAACCTAGCCCCTTCATCTATCCCATGTCAGCTTAAAGCATGTGGCTATACATGGTATGTACTCTTACCATGTGTTTATGCTTGAGAGATCACGTCAAATGAAAGTATGTGTTTGTGCGTAACAGGCCCCGTCAACTCGAAGAATGTGCTTTTATTACCCACGTGGTCAACGTATTGGTAGGTGCATACTGATCTCGTACGTCACACGAGTGTCGTATCGCGTTGACCTGTGTAGTAACGACTTGATCTGAGATTCTAACGATTTGATTGGATAACCGATGACCTCTCAATTAGGTCACGTTGTGACGGAACTACTTTTTCATTCAAACACGTGAATTCATTCATTCTACAACTTATAGGCATTGTGGGAATGTAAACATTGTCAACGTTGCCGATTATACCCGTCGAAAAACATAAACGCAATGTTTCCACCAGTGATGTTAGCCGAGAGAAGCAACTACAAACTAAGAAACGGGGTGCTGCGGAGTAGTATAATGTAGGAGGTTGTACGAGGCGATGACAACTGACATGCATCGTGACGTCGGTTACAAAGGGGGCAGACAAGCGAGGCATAGTGACATCATTACAGTGTGACGTCATGCAAAAAGTGTACTGCAGAACAACATTCTTCCGCAACCTCTTTATGAAACCGGTTTCGGTTAGAAACCATACAAATAACACAAATACGCTATTTTGTCAATTTAAAGCACGTAAGACGTGGGTAATAAATAAAATACCACACTCGGTCTCTTAACATACGAATTATTCGACCATAGGTATCTGACCATAGGAAGGTCACGAGTTTCGTATAATTCGTATGTTATGAGACCGAGTGTAGTATTCCCTATATACGCGACAGGTCTTGTCAACTCGAAGCATGTGCTTATGCGTTTAAATGTGACAGGTCCTGTCAACTCGCAGCATGTGCTTAAACGTCCTATGGTCCTATGACATCAAACAATAATTAGCAGTCACAGATAGTCATAAAAATCATCTGACAGAATCCTACAGAATTTATGTTTCTCTATCCAGAGGCAGCGTTGGATTTCTCCTTTTATGATTGTTTGGTTTGTGTCATCCTGACTTATGGCGAGAAGGGACAGATCTATGGAACAGACAAGCTTGTAAAGATCGAAGGCCTTATAGAGACATTCAAAATGAACAACTCTCTGGCTGGCAAACCCAAGCTTTTCTTCATACAAGTGAGTATATCATGCCTCTGGTAATTGTCAGTGGTTAGATTCCTGCATCAGTCGACATTCTGAATGAGTGGTTACAGCTCTCGTTATTCTCAGTGAGTAGTTAGGTCTCTACATCTCTCGTTATTCTCAGTGAGTAGTTAGGTCCCTACAGCTCTCGTTATCCTCAGTGAGTAGTTAGGTCCCTACATCTCTCGTTATTCTCAGTGAGTAGTTAGGTCCCTACATCTCTCGTTATCCTCAGTGAGTAGTTAGGTCCCTACATCTCTCGTTATTCTCAGTGAGTAGTTAGGTCCCTACATCTCTCGTTATTCTCAGTGAGTAGTTAGGTCTCTACATCTCTCGTTATTCTCAGTGAGTAGTTAGGTCCCTACATCTCTCGTTATTCTCAGTGAGTAGTTAGGTCTCTACAGCTCTCGTTACTTTGAATGAGTGGTTACAGCTCTCGTTATTCTCTGAGAGTAGTTAGGTCTCCACAGCTTTCGTTACTTTGAATGAGCGGTTAGATCACTACATCTCACTCTATGATGAATGAGTGTTAGCTCGCTATATTTCTCGTTTTTCGAGCATTTGGATCACTTTACCTCCAATAGTTAGGTCACGATTGTCTTGGTGTTCAGAGTGATGCAAATCTTTGCAGTAATATCATATCCATACCGAGATTGACATTGGATCTCCAACATTTGGATTCTGAGTTACAGAAGTTCAATGTACGGGTTTACTCTTTCCTTATAATTTTGTAAATATACAAAGTCAACGCCAGAGATTATTCAGTCTAGATTATTTGTTGAAATAGGTTCCGTTGGGTTTAAAAAGTAAAATAGTGGTGAATATATACTGTGAGAAACAAATAAAGGAACACAGGAAAATACATATTTTCCAGTTTTCATCACCAGCTTTGAATAGCGCTGTGGGAGGAAATCTGAGAATAAATAAAGGAACACTGCATGATGTGGCGTTCCCTTATTTGTTTCCCTCAGTATATATGAATGAATCTCTGGAAATCGGAGGATATAGTTTGATACTAATACAGATGCTGGTGAAATGGTAAGTGTGCATACCCTGCTGTTAACATCCGGTATTCACTCACTTTGCATGAAACTCAAATATTGTTGTCTTACGCCATATCATTCAGCTTAGCTCTTGCATCTCTAAAATATCCAAATGTAACGAATAAGTGATTACATCTGGTACTCTATATCCATAACAAAAATTGAGTGTTTTGAAATAAGTTCATAAAATATCCTCCAAATCATAAATGACTCAGGTATTTACCAATATATGTCAGTGGTGATTATTTTTGGAAATAATGTACAAAGAAGCAAGCAATGAATGCATGACTTTATATTCCGCTTCAGGCTTGTGACAGGGAAGAGCCTGAAGGAGGAGATGACGTGAATGATGCAATGTGTGTGGCAGAGAGTGTTGCGGATGCTCCTTCTGGAAGTCTAGAGACGCACATAATCCCCAAAGAAGCTGACATCCTTATAGCACACTCCACTGTTCCAGGTGAGCTGCTCCTGAATGTGCGTCTGTGTGTGTGTGTGTCTCTCTCTCTTTCTCTGTGTGTGTGTGCGTGCGTGTGCGTGTGTGCCCGCGTGTGATTTGCTGTTCATGGCAGCTCTCAATGTATTACAGCTACATGACGTCCGAATGTAAGTTATTAAGTAAGAAACAGGGAATCATGTGACTGATATAGCAAGCAACGACCCACGCCTTCGGGTTAGGTCGACAGGCCTTCAACCACGTCATACAACGGCACCAGTCGATACAGCTTTAATACCTACCAAATACTAGGGACCTATACTGATCAGAAATCTCTGTGTGGCGTAGGTAGGGGGAAATATTAATGTGAGGTGATTGTGATAGTAGAGAGGCGTCCAGAAACCTTTGATACTTCACATTCCTGATTCGCAGAGGTTGTTGTCCTAGATTTGTCAGCATCCCGCCCGTGCTCGTGGGTTTCTCAAAAGTTTGGGACATCTATCACTTAGGGCTTCATTCCAACATTACACTGATACATCTTAAATACTGACAAAATAATGTCATTTAAACTATGACTACATGTTGAACATTTCAGGTTACTTCTCATGGCAAGGGCATAGACAACGCGGATCCTGGTTTATTCAGGCTTTCTGTGATGTCTTGAAGAAGTTCGGAACAAAGGAGGACCTGCTCAACATGATGCAGCGTGTCAATTGCAAAGTGGCTTACGAATTCGAGTTCAATGCAAAATTTGAATTCCTTGAGAGAAATAAGCAGTTACCATGTATAACGTCCATGCTGACAAAAGAAGTACGTTTTTACAGCAAGTAATGTACATGTCATGTAGAGGAGCGATGGTTTTCTCAGTATTGCAGGATAGATATTGTAAGGACACGAACCTCGGTGAGGCCAATGTGAATGTAGAAAAGACTCGTAGCTCACAACTTCGAGTCAAGTGAAAAGACTGAATTCGTTAAGAGATTAAAGAGATACCATGTACCAATTCCATGTTGGCAAGAAATTTCATTTTCCCAGATCAAAATTGTGATGTAATCATGATAGGAGCGCTTGAAAGCGACCATGGCTACACCATTAACATGAACAGTGGTGGTCAAGCCCGGCCAAGCATCTGTGAAGTTGACCAACATCTCATTGATTTTGACACAACCTTAAAGAAGTAGATAAGGACAAACGTCATGGATGAACAATTTCTTTATTCAGGTTATGAGAAGTTTCGACAGAGATTCTTGTATCGTTGTAGATTTTGTTAAATCTAGTAAAGTCAGAAGAGCATTCGTTTTGTGTTTGGTCCCTCGACAACATCATGTGCCCCAATATCGGGAAAACACAGCTCATTTAGTTTTGATGGAATATCGATACACGATGCTGCAGCTAACTTGTACTAATTTGTGTAATATGTAGACTGGTTTGTTTTCTGACAGTAAACAAAATAACACACTTGTTACAGTTTAATTACAGCTTTATTTATTTATTTCTCTTATTACTTTTATGGTACATATGTTTATGGTAATGAAGACTTTATTCCGAATGATGACGTTAAGTGGTAGTACTGCTTGTCTGTGAGTGAGTTTGGTTTTATGCCGCTTGTAACGGTATTCCAGTAATATCACAGCATGTCAGCTGGAGAAGGAAATCACGAACTGATGCAGGTCTCAGACTTGTATCACTTGCATGTTCATGGTGCTGACAAACCTAAAAACATAACCGGTTGAACCGGGATTCAAACCTCAATCATAGTGTTCACCCGTCCTTAAAGCACGCAACTACGCAGCGATGCTGCATCTTGGACGACTTCCCCAATGTGGACCCTTAAATGTCCATAACATGATAACTAATTACAATACGAGTGAGTGAGTGAGTGCGTGAGTAAGGTTGTATGCCGCTTTTAGCAATATTCCAGCATTATCACGGTAGGGAACACCAGAAATTCACCCACACATTGTACCCATCTGGAAAGGTGAAGACCTGTTTTTGCGAACACCTGTTGTCTTATTTTTCTATTGTGTTTCATCAACACATTCTCAGTTAAGTCAGGATGGAACAAGGGATTCAGAAATGTCTGACGATTTTGTTATTTTTTCTCTTGAAATTATGATAATTAGGACACATTATTTTTTGTGTGTAAATCTAACAGTCTTGGGTAGATTTGACATGATACAAGGAACGCATTTTTTAGGTGGAATAGTTTCGGTTTCCTTCTGTGACATGTTATGGCTCACTCGTGTAAGTGAGTGATGAAGGACAGCTCCGGGTTTCATCTCTTTATGGAGACATTGCACCATCCACGATCCATTCGTTGTATTCCGGATTGCATAGTGCCCTGTTCCACAAAAAGAGAAATAGATACCATAGAAAATTAACATAGAATGCATTAAGTGAGCCTTGAGGGTTATACGATATTCCAATAAGCCCTTGGACAATTACGCATTACCTTATGGCTTATATAGACAATTCAAAGTCTTCTGACATCTGAAAAATATCTTTTTGAAATGGTCCATTATATAGTTACGCAAATGCCTCTTTAAAATTAGAAAAGGGTTAGTAGGATTGACGTACAACGAAGTGAGATGGCATTAGATTGGTCCAATATTGAGAACTGGCCCTGTATGCAAAAATTAAATTAAAAGAAAACATATATCTAAAACACGAATCTGTAAACATGTCTCAATTTATTTTTAAAAATAGTACACATAGCTGGAAAATGTTGAGTATATTTTTTCCGTTAGAAATGATGCAGATTACATAGTGAACAATTCTCTAAAGTTAGTTGGCAAATACCCACATTTGAATTCAAACCTCTATGTTTGTTGTATAATGTATGTGTATGGGCCCAGTGTCCTCCATGCTTGAATAAAGGATTGATACTGATTGGGGATGGAGAGGAGAGCTTACCAGTTGGGGCGACCCACGTCAGATCAAACAGATTGGATAGACGATCTTACGTGGAGGAGGGGCATATATTGGAACAAAATTATTGGAGCTTTCGGGACGCTCTTACCTGGATGTGGGGCATATATATGAACAAACTGACTGGAGAAGGAGAGAAGACCTTACCAGGAGGGGTAGCACACGTCAGAACAAACTGATTGGAGATGGAGAGAAGACCTTACCAGGAGGGGTAGCACACATCAAAACAAACAGATTTGAGATGGAGAAGAGACCTTACCAGGAGGGGTAGCACACATAAAAACAAACTGATTTGAGATGGAGAGGAGACCTTACCAGGAGGGGTAGCACACATCAAAACAAACTGATTTGAGATGGAGAGGGACCTTACCAGGAGGGGTAGCACACATCAGAACAAACTGATTGGAGATGGAGAGAAGACCTTACCAGGAGGGGTAGCACACATCAAAACAACTGATTGGAGATGGAGAGGAGACCTTACCAGGAGGGCTAGCACACATTAAAACAACTGATTTGAGATGGAGAGAAGACCTTACCAGGAGGGGTAGCACACATCAAAACAACTGATTGGAGATGGAGAGGAGACCTTACCAGGAGGGGTAGCACACATAAAAAACCTGATTTGAGATGGAGAGGAGACCTTACCAGGAGGGGTAGCACACATCAGAACAAACTGATTGGAGATGGAGAGAAGACCTTACCAGGAGGGGTAGCACACATCAAAACAACTGATTGGAGAAGGTGTGGAGAGGATATCTTACCAGGAGGGGCGGCATACATCAGAAGAAAATCCTTGTAGATTTGTGCAGGGGAGACTTCATATCTCATCGCATTCATTTCTCCGCTTGAATCCACCTGATTCGTCTCCCCTTGATCCTCATTCTCAGACCTGTCTTGCCTCGATGTCTGAACTTCAATGGACACGCCAAAATCATTGATCGTTCCTCGACAAGCCTGCGTAATAAAGGTGTGAAGGTATTATTTTTTTCTAACAGTACGATCCGTAATAAGTATTTTCAAATTTGGTATTATATTAGCTATAGTCAACTATAGGGATTCTTTCTTCTTGTGTTCCTGATGCAACTTCTATAGCTAACACTCTCTGTCAATGTAGGTGATATTATACGTCCAAACATCTGTTAGCGACGTTGGTTCGTGAAGGGGCATGGTTCCAGTCGTCAATGGGCCCTCATTACGTTTCCGGGTTTGTTAGTATCATACCTATACGCGACTTTCATAAAAGAGGTAGACCTGCCTCACTTAATGATAATAATAATAATAAAACTTCCGCCCTATCACATGTTTGAATACACAATATAAAATCTTCACAGGGTGTTTGACAAACCTCGTGTCATCCTACTGTTCTTCCAATGATATAATTTACAGAGAGCAGAAGCTAGCAAGAAACGGATGTTGGAGGTGCAAGGATCAACTTCTTGTACAGAAAATGATTTTGGAAGAGGCTAGAACGTATCACCGCAACCTCTCCATGTGCTGGATTGACTACAAAAAAGCATACGACTCTGTCCCTCATGAATGGATTCTGAAGTCTCTTCGTTGTATTGACCTCCCGGAGCGATTACTTGATTTACTCAAGTCTTTAATGAGTTGCTGGTCGACTCAACTTGAAATGTACTCGCAAGGGCAGGTGCAGACTTCGGAATCTATTCTAATCAGAAGGGAAATTTTCCAGGGGGACTTCAGTCCTCTTCTTCTTTGTTTGTCTCTAAATCCTTTGAGCTTTCTGCTAAATAGAGAGGAGGGTTACCATCCCAGACCTCCTCAGCACAGATCCCTAACACCGCCTTTACATGGATGACATCGAGCTCCTTGCCAAAGAAGATACCAATTTGAAAGAACAGGTTCTCCTTGTCGAGTCCTTTTCTAATGATACTCTTCATTTGAAACGTGGCAAAGTAATTAAGGGGGGAGGAGTTATTGAGGATCTTGTGGAAGATCAGGCATACACCTATCTTGGAATGCAAGTTCGAGACAAGTCACAAAATGCCCAGATTCAAGAGAAACTTCGGGCCGAGTATAAAGCTCGCTTAAAGAAAATCTGGAGCTCAGAACGTAATGCTCGAAGCAAGGTCAAACGCACCAATACTTTTCCTGTGCAAGTCCTTTATTTTTTACTTTCGAGTAGTTGATTGGACTTGACCGCCTGACCAGAAGGATTATGTCTGATAACAGAGCTCACCACCCTCGTTCCTCACTTAATCATTTATATATGCCAATCAATTCTGGAGGTCGGGGTTTGATTAATGTGGAGGCTATTCATGATAGAATTGTATTGTGTACTTTTGTACATATTTATTTATCGGATGATCCTTTGGTACAGAACAGAATTGTTTATTCTCGAAAATCATACAGAATGATATAGAGAACATACAGTCGTTTAAATACAATATCATATGGGTAGGTATTTTGATTTAGAAGTGGCTAAGCACAGTTTTAGCTTTGGTGATGCATGTCAAGACTCGCAGTAAAACCAGGAATTCCACAGCTATTTTAAGCGTGGAAAGGTTGTTGGACAGAATCTGAAAGTTTAGTTGATTTTGTTGATGGTGATGTACTGCTGAACGGTACAGCGACCACGGGAGTAAACCAGGTGAAGTTATTCACCAAGTCTGCCCAGAGTAGGTCATTTGTGAAGAAGCTTTCTGAGAAACCATTGCATCGCGTGTACATGCAGTGCGTGGAACAGAGTTGCAATCCAACCGACTCCTGAGCCTGGATGAAGTCTGCTGGTCTTAAATGTGAAACTGGGGGCTTTCTTTTTGCTGCCAGTCACTTTTCACTCTCAATCTCCTAAATGTGATTCTTAAGGAAAATATTAACATGAAATGCCGACTGTGTAATGAATTTACAGAGACTGTCCAAACCTTGTCAGAGGATGCCCTTCCTTGGCAAAAACAGCACATCTTAAGAGACATGATGGCATGGCTCGCTGCTTTTACTACCGTCTTCGCCATGCCTGTGGCTTTGACTCTGAGGTCCATCCATGGTACGACCCTGAACATGTCTAGGGCGTCATGGAAAATGATGCTTTCAAACCTCTTTGGAATTAGGCCCATATACAGCCTCAGAAGATATCCAGCCAACACACCTGATCTTGTCCTTTTTGATAAAGTCAATGAATTTATTCATATCATTGAATTTTCTGTCCCTTTTGACAGCAACGTGATTGGCAAGATTCAGGAGAAGCATGCTAAATATGCAGACCTCGCCTTTCAAATGTCTCGCTTGCATCCCAAGTACACTGTCGTCATACTCCCCATTGTTCTCGGTGCCCTTGGTTTGGTACCTCCTGATCTCTTGGCGCAGATCAGGAGAGTGTCTGGGTTCTCCACCGGGAGCACAGCCCTTCTGACACACTGGGTAATGCAGAAGGTTGCAGTGTCGGGGAAGTCTACATATTCTCCGGAAAGGTCTTGCTGGGTTTGACTAGGCAGCGTTTCGATTATTTACAGACCGCCGCCATATCGATTATTGCTTAGTGCGGCGTTAATGTCTCAGAAAAAAACAATGATTCACTTCACCTGTACAAAGAAGAGCTTAGGTTTTCCGCCTAATTCCGGGCAGCATTCGTCGTTGAAGATACTCAGGAAATGACTCGTCCGAACTGCATTCCCGTCTGTGCCATAAATTGTGTCGTATCTCATACTGTCCTGCAGTTCTTCGCCTCCATGGGACATGATTGCACACACGAAACAGTCAGCGTTTCTGTGGTCAAACTGCAGCGGGAATATTTTCGTACATTTTGAAGTGATCGATACTAAAAATGTGATTGGCACCGAAGAGTTTACAATATTGATTTGTTTACGAAGGCATATAGTAAAAACTACTGAGCACATGAAAACCTGAACCAGAGTAAGGGTCGTGACATTTATATGTTATGGGCGGCCATCAGGAGCAAGATCAGGTATGAAAAAGGCCCCCCAATCTCAAAACGCTCTGAAACCTAACGCTTCTAACACGCCAGCAGTTCGGGCAGGCACACAATGTTAATAATCGACCTGACACTGGGTGCCCTTCATCAACAACACAAGTCAATAATCGACTAATTCGAAACCAGCTTTTCTGAAATCGGGTCCAAACAGCCAATCAAATCGTTTTTCAATTGCGCCTGGCTACGGAGTTCAAGTTACAGATGTTACGACTTGAAGTGAGGTTGACACACCAAGACAAAACTGAAGTACGGTTAATACTCACAATGAACTGCTTACCCTTTTGTAGGAATTCCTCCATCTCGACACCTTTAAGATCTTTCTTAATTCTAACCTCGAAGTCGAGACCTTCGAAGATTTCTTTCAAATTATTGACATCGACATCTGCTCCGATTCTCCTGTCTTCTTCTTTAACAAAGTTTTCATTCCAGATGATGACGGCTAACCCTGTGATTTGGTTTTCAAAGTTGTATTTCTCCTCAAAGGCATCCTCATCGGGCTTAATAAGCTTATGTTCAGGCAGTGTTTTTGCTCTTTCCCCAGGTTCATATTTTCTACAAATACATGGTAATAAAAAACACATGAAATAAATCTCTATCTATTAAGACCATAACGCCACTCTTAAACATATATACACAATTGTGTAAGTAGGAAATATATTCTGGTGATGACTTGTTGCTGGGTGTAGTCAGGTACGATACGTGCACAAGGGGGCATAAGTGTTGTCGTGCTGAAATTTGGTTTAAAAACCTAAGATTATTGTAAGCATGGATCCTAGGTTTTAATATGTCATTTCATCTTGTGGAACCGCTGTTGACAGGTGTTGTGTACTTGTCAATGACTCGTTCCATGATTTGCAAAATGGTTGATTGGTGCCATGAAAACCATTTTCATGGTTACTCATGCATCAAGAGCATAAGGTTAGATTAAAGTGGCTGTTTGCCTAAAGCGAGGTTACCACATTATTATTATTAATCCAATTTTAAATGGATACATTTTCAAATTATAAATCTACGTTAAAGTAAAGTTGTGAATTTTTGTGATCCTTAGCAAAGTTTTAGTAGTATATATAAACAGAGAGTGAGAGATAGACACACACAGAGAGGAGACAGACAAAGACAGACAGATTGGGGGAGGGGGGGTAGAGAGAGATTTCATATTGATGTATTATTTCTTTTTAAATATTATGTTTTGGTTAGCTGGCTAGTTTATGAGTCAGTCATTTCAACAGGTCAAGAAAAACACGCAGCTGGCGATGACTGTAATAAAAACTATATATATATACTAACAATGTAATAACACTTACTCCTTGTATTCCTTGATGTAGGCTTCAAGCGATTGCACAGCAGGTCCTATGCAACAAGATATTCATTGACGTCATCATTATTCGTTAATAATAGGGTTTAGTTCAGTATGCGGTTACCTTAAGAAGCTGAACGATATGATATAATGCATCTATTATATATATGAACACAAACTCTCTCAGCCACTTCAGTCACCCATGAAGATCCGGGTTCTAATTGGTCTTAGCGACCCATGCTCATAAGAGGCGACTAACTGGATCAGGCTGATCGCTGATGTGGTTGACGCATGTCACCGTATCCCAATTTCATCGATCGATGCTCATTATGTTGATCATTGGATTGTCTGGTCCAGACTCGATTATTTACAGACCACCGCCATATAGTTGGAATATTGTGGCGTGGCGTTAAACAACAAGCAAACAAACAAGCAAACGGGTTTATCATGGCGTGTCAGATTAATGTTGGACGAAAGTAAAACGGGTTTAAAACGTTTGTCGCAAAACAAAAAGGGGAAAGATCATAAGATCCTTACGTGCATAGGGCAGGTAACTCTGTACAAACGAGGACGGCGCCTAAGACGACACAGTCCCATATTGTAAATTAGTAAACACATTCAGCATAATACCAGGACAGTGTTTAAGAAAGACTAAGCTTACAGTTCCCCCTCCCATCCCAAGACGCCGCCTCTATGCTCCAGTCTTCTCCGGGAGCCGCAAGTAGGAGATTCCATCCTTCCAAAACGTTAAAAGGTGGTACTTATTGTTTATGTTCCTTGGATAGACATTGGAGGATATTGTTCCTGGATAATTAGGATAATCACTTGTTTACATTTACCGGAACGATTGGCCAGAGTCACGTTCCTCTCGAGTCGTACGTGACATGTGATCTGTCTTGGTATCATACCTTCACCTGCTCCAGCAGAGGATAAAGGGCCTGATACGGAGATATACTTACCTTCGCTGCCCATTATAATCCCAGATATCTCTGATACAGGTTATGATGGTTGATGATAATTAGGTTCTGAAAAGGAAATGATTCATTTATCAAATTCCTATTCCAGCTTCCTAAGCAATACGACGAAGGGAACTGGATGATCGGGTCACTTGAAACGTGTGATTTATTTATTTTTAAATACCGAGTTTAAAAAATTTAAAGGGGAAGTGTACATGACACAAACCGCATCTTTCTTATGTCAAACAAAACGGAAGTTTAGAATCGGTTAATATCCATGTTTGAAAATATACACTCATGTTTCTGACATTGAAAATAAAACGCTCAATATACGCAGCTTCCAAGATATACAGACCAGAGTTAAAACAAAAGCAACAACCAGTCCCCGGGAATCGCTCCCGATCAGTCTCCCTTTAGGTCATGCCTGAGTTTGCAACAGCCATGGCCTCATGCGTGACAGAAACTATTACAACACATTGTGTTGAATGTACCAATTCTTTGAAATACATCTTTAGTTATTTCCCTTATTCTTACTAGGATACTCTTCCCATGCATATTCTGAAACTAGTCAGAATTACACGTGATGCAATGGGCGAAACATGGCTGACATTTACGTAATTCTATGGCGGAAAGTTCACTTCGGGGTTCGTGTTACAGAATGAACATTGCCTTTGACACAATATGACGTCAAAAGTACCAACTGATAAACGAATGATGTCAGTACAGATGCCTGGTTCTTTTCGTTAAAACTCAAATGATCGTTTGATGGATATTGTTATAAATCTTATGCATACAATGACAATAGAAGAAAGCAGTTAATACAAGCATGCGCTGTCTCCGAATAGTGTCTTATACGTGTGCCTGAACAAAGAAGTGAACCGTGAACAGTTGGGAGAATGTGGATTCCGTTAATCGAATTTTCTCGGATTAATATTGTTTTAACTTAATGAAACAAAAATAACAGCATAAGATGAATAGCCCACGTGTCAATGAAATATGTATCGATCTGTCATCTCGTGAAGTGAAAAATGTGGAAGTATCACGTTTTTCCAGTCACTCGAGGACAGATATAACCAAGATGACGTATACCTACTCTACTTGATGTGTAACGAGTAATATTGTTGACTACAGTGCGGGGATGAACCTTAACACTCACTGTTGATCCGCTGTATATATAAATATGGACACTGCTCTATACTTTGATTATCCCCAAGAACCAGCAAAAATCCGGGTTAGAATTGGTCTTCAGCAACCCATATTTGTCGTAAGAGGGTGGTCGGACTCGGTGACTTGGTTGACACATGTCATCGTATCCCAATTGCCTAGATCGATGTTCATGTTGTTCATCACTGGATTGTCTGGTCCAGACTATTGTTTACAGACCGCCGTTATATAGCTGGAATATTGCTGAGTGCGGTGTTAAACAGAGAGATTATGTTTCTTTAAGTCTCACTTTCTCACTAGCTGTCATACAATACTAACATTTTCGTGAAGTTTAAAAGTACAGAAATCACCGGTTAGGTTATGAGAGACTAATAAAACATAAAAACAACAACCCAAAAACGACAAACCGGCCAGCCAACGACAATACCCAGGCCCAGACGAAGACAATGATGACTGGAGCCCCAAGAAATACCCGTTGTCTATTTACCTGACCTAGGCTTCTCACTCGAAAACGACGCTTGGGTTGTCGGCAACGGTAAACCTGCTGACACTCACACCCCAGACTGCGCCCGTTGCATGTTCAATTATAACTTGAGGATTACCGAAACGTTCGAGCCGCTACCGTCATCTGAATGTATATTTCTTGGGATTGGGAACTCAATACTTCATAGTGAATCATAGTGAACAAGAAAATCATTTTGCAAGAATATGTATTACCTTATCGAGGAACAGTGATGCATTGAAAGTCGCTGCACAAACACAGACGATGTCCCTAGTAACTTGTCGTGTACCTGTGAATATTCCTGGATCAGCAAGCAGGTCATTCAATTGAGGCATGCAGTTATTGTGTGCATTTTCATTTTTCAAAAGCATCGATGCATGACTCAACGATGCATGACTCAAGTACAGAGCAACAAATATACGCCCATTCTTAGTTGTGGCTTAGAAGGTAACAGAGCTGTGGTTGACTACAAACGTTAGTAATGTTTTGGTCATATCCGATGTTCAGTGTAATGTTTTCTTTTGTCCGGCAATGTATTTACAACAACTGTGCGAGCTTCATGAGTGTTATCACCCGTCAACATCCGGGTTAGAATTGGTCATCAACAACCAATACTTGTCGGAAGAGGCGATGAACGGGATCGGGTGGTCAGGCTCGCTGGATTGGTTGACACATGTCATTGTATCCCAATTGCGTAGTTCGATGTTCATGCTGTTGGTCACTGGATTGTCTGGTCCATTATTTACAGACCGCCGTCATGTAGCTAGAATATTGCTGAGTTCGGCGTTAAACAACAAACAAACAAACCATAATTGTTATCCTGTCTTAAGTTGAAAGTGCCGTGAGTGTCACCGGGCTGTTGGGGTAGACTTGTGGTTGACGCGTTCGTTCGTCACCCCCGAAGACCCGGGTACAATGTGCGAAGCCCATTTCTGGTGTCTCCCGCCGATACATTGCTGGAATATTGCTAAAACTAAACTCACTCACTCATGAGTGTCACGGATGAGTCAGATATGAGATGCTAATTTTCTCTCACAGCTTTTGTCTTGTGACGTTGTCCATAGTCAACACCATTCCAGGGACAAGAGGACCTGAAAATATACTGAGTCAAAAAAGAAACTTCACATTCTTTCTTCAGGGCACTATAAAAGAACAAGAGATGGTAAGATGGTTAAATTGTTATTATTTCATTGCTGAGATCTGTGTGATGTAATCGATACACTGACAGTGACATAATCAGTTCCATAAGGCTACACCGCCGTTTCAAAACATGGGTATACAGAATGTCAAGTCACAAGAATAAAAATGCGAAATTTCTCATTTCAATATCTTGTATAGCCGCCCCGCGCATTCACCACTGCCAAACACCGTCTCCTCATCGACTGCCTGATGCTTGTGTACACGTGGTTGGGGATTCTGCGCCATTGCCCTTGCAAGGCAGCGCCAAGTTCCTGCAAATTCTGAGGTGGGTTCCTAAGACCACGAAGCCTTCTCCCAACTGCATCCAAAACGTGCTCTATTGGATTAAGGTCAGGGGACCTCGATGGCCAGTACATGACGTTGATTCCAGCGTTTTGAAGGAAATTTCGTGTCAACATCGCGGTATGCGGCCGAGTATTATCATGCTGGAACTGTAGACCTGGGCCATGAGCCGCCATGAAAGGAACGAGTTCAGGGGTGAGCACCTGGTCGCGGAAAGCAGCAGCTGTGAGGTCTCCACGGATGACCAGAAGTCGGGAACGGTTGTTCCCACAGAAAGCACCCCACACCATGCAACTTCCGCCCCCGAATCTGTCGACTTCCTGTACACAACATTGGGCATACCGTTCACGACGTCGTCTCCAGACTCTATGCCTGCCGTACGCGAATCTGAGGGTAAACCTGGATTCATCGCTAAAGACGACTCGATTTCAGTCTCTCTGGGTCCATCGGAGGTGACGTTGGGCCCACAGCAGACGTTGACGTTGATGAAACGGCGTCAATATTGGCCCACGATATGGACGTCGAAAATGGAGATTGGCAGCCCGCAACCGATTTCGAATGGTCTGTGAGGATAGTCGACCTCTAAACATGTCAGCCCTGGTTCGTGTAGCCGGCAGAAATCTGTCACGTAGGTGACGTAGGACGATTTGACGGTCTTCTGCTCGTGACGTCACACGTGGACGACCCGACCTTGGGCGATCAGAAGTGGTGCCAGTTTGTTGTAGACGACCTCGCAAGTCATACACAGTACGACAGCTGCATCACATTGCTCTTGCGACGTCAAGTACTGATCTTCCCGCTTGCAACATGCCAACGGCACGTTCACGATGCACATTTGACAATCGTGGCATTTCAAGTACCGTTAGAACTGTGGTTTAAAAGTGTTTTTTCAATTCTTGAGGCCAATGCAAACACGTGCATATGAAGAAAACTTCGATGCGAAGATCACGTGATCGACTGCACGTGCAAAACCTGATTTGGCACTAACGTCATTTGCACGACGAATGGATGGGTTTGAGTGGGTTTTGCTAACGTTTTTTTCTAGAGTCGAAAGATAGGGATCCCATTTCGGATACATAGATGTATCATCAGAGAAAAATTCTTCATTATTTTTCAAATTACATTTTGTGAAGTTTCTTTTTTGACTCAGTATATGTCAGTAGGTTTTATGACGTTGTAAGTATTTTGGTAATTGGAATGCGCTTTAAAAATAGGGTACAGTAACAGTTATTGGTTAAAATGTTGAGTGGGTATCCCTGTTCTCTATTGCACCGAAATTCAACATGTAGTTGAAGATTCCTATAGGAAACGGGATGGTTTGGACAATGCAACAGTGGGACCTATCACCATATCTGTGGACAGTGACAGTAGTTATAGTGACAGTGAGATCGATGATCGATTAAAGCTTTTGAAACCAACCCTACTTGTACTCTGCGTTTCATTTGATGTGCATACCCCCTTGAAATACAAACCAAAAGTGGCGATTTGAAATTATGATCGTTTGTTAAATCACTTTTATCCTAAGTTTAATAAAATTCTGAGAATTTAATGTTTAGTTGGCAGGGTAAAATTATGAGGATTCGCAATCCTAATTTCACTTGATTTCATTGACTTTTTTGTTTAAAGTGAAATTCATCAGTACGTTTTCACTGCAAACAGACTATAGATCACATGCACAGGATCAAGAATGATAATCGAAATGAAAACCCTACATATAGTTGTTTTTGTCTATTTGCGTCCAACCCAACAAATTGCTTTAAACAAGAGCAAAGTGAATTCTGAAAATGTGATAATTAACAATCTAGTGGGTGAGTGAGTTTAGTTCAAATTTGCAAATACAACCTTAGAAACTACTTACATACTTACTT